GAAGCGCGCGCCCCTTCTTCTATATATATATATATATACACACAGAAACTCCCGATCAACCGCAGAGCGGCGGATGTTCTTATCTTGTAGTATCTTATCTTGTCTTGTCTTATCTGGTGATTATCATTGGGAGGAGGGAGGCGCGAGCGGGAGGAAGGAGGAGCATCGGGAGGCGTCAGAGTAATAACAAGAACCCCAATCCTTAGGATATGGGGAACAAGAACCCCAATCCTTAGAATATGGGGAAAAAACCCTGCCGCCGTAGCCGACGATTCGCACTAGCAGCGCATCGGCCCAAAAGTGGGACCATCCCTCCTCCTCCTCCTCCTCCTCCTTTCCCTCTCCCCCTCCTCCCCCTCCACCTCCCCCTCCCCCTCCTCCTCCTCCTCCTCCTCCTCCTCCTCCTCCTCCTCCTCCTCCTCCTCCTCCTCCTCTGCTCACTTCAAAAATCTGCCCTCGGCCACCCTCGGCCAGGGCAGCGCCCGGCAGAAGACTCGAGCGGCCGCCGGCGGAGCTGCGCCCCGCCGGACCAGCAGCCACCATGGAGGACTCCGCTCCTCCTCCCGCGTGTAGCTCGCTTCGGTCCTCTGCGCTTTCTAGTCGGGCCTGAGGCGCCCCCCCCCCTCTCCATTGCCTCCCATGGAACCCATCGGCGCGGAAAAAGCCCCTCCTCCCGCGTGTAGCTCGCTTCGGTCCTCTGCGCTTTCCAGTCGGCCTGAGGCGCCCCCCCCCCTCTCCAGTGCCTCCCGTGGAACAACTCGGCGCGAGAGAAAAGCTCTTCCGTCCCTCGACACTCTCGGAGCTGGTCGCTCCACTTCTGCGCTGGTGTGGAGGGAGCTCTCCCAGAACCCTCCACGGCATGAGGGTCGCCCGTGAACGCTCCGCACTCCGGGCGGACAACGAGCGGTCGGTCCCGGGTAGGCAGCGCAGTGGGCGCCTGGCGGAACCTGTTGAGGTCAAGTGCGCGGTCTGCAAACTCTAAAGGCTCCGAGTTGGCCCCCTGCAGAAGATTCCAAGAAGCCGACGGGAAAGCATGGCTGCGGTCCGCGTTGGGCCAAGAAGCACTGAAACCAGCCATTCCGAATCCGTGCAGCATCATCTGGTCAACCACCGTGGCCCACTCCCCCCTCCTCCCACGCGAGATGCCCCAATCGCAGGGCCCCGATGGTGGAGCTTGATGCCCAACGAGGAGGAGGAGGAGGAGGAGGAGGAAGAGGAGGAGGAGGAGGAGGAGGAGGAGGAGGAGGAGGTGGTGGGGCTTCGGGGCCCCAGCGAGCCCAACCACCCCCCACGGGCCCAGGAGGTGAATGACACGTTTACCTCTGGGGCCCTGGGGCCGCCGACTCCGGCGGAGCACGCCCGTAAGTTTGACTTCCCAGGCCCTCGAGAAGCGCCTGGCAGGCCGACTGGTTCACCGGCGTGTGAAGAGTCGCTTCGGAACGAAAAGGGGGGGACTTCAGCGCCGACGCCGCGCCTCGTCTTGCCGAGTCCAGAAGCTCGGCTCAGTCCTCCCGCCCCAGGTCTCCGCGGTGACGACCCGCGGGGGGGCAGGCGCGACGCTCGGGCGAGCGCCGAAGGTATTTCCGAATAGAGCGCACGTCAGTCAAAGCCTCCACATTGAAAATGTGAACGTTTCCCTCCACCCGCGTCTCCTGGTTGAACCCGCTCTCATTGGCTTCCTCCGCCTCCATCCCTCTGCGAGGTCCAGTTTGCCGCCAGGCTGAGAGCCATTCTTCAGCAGACAGAGCAGCCCCCTGAAGATGGCGTAATTTGCGACCTCGCGGAGCCTTGCCGCGACAGGCAAGGATCCTGATCAAGGGGTAAGCCCCCTTCAACTTTCGAGCTCTCCAGGCCTTCCCCGGCTCATTCGCGATCTCCTGCCTCCATTGACGAAATTCACCCCTCCGGAGCGCGAACCACCTCTTGCTCAAAATCTTCAAACGCACCTTGGCCGCCTCCTCCTCCTCCTCCCCCGTCACGGTCTTAGAGGCAGCCTGTTTCAGCTCCGGGCGGCGTTGTAGAAGTGCGCGGTGCTCGGCTGCATGTGTTATGTGCCACTCGGGGCACTGCGCCACTGAACCTCCAGAGCATCCTGCATCCTGCCCGAGCGAGATCTCATCGACGACGGGGAAAAAAGAGTCGGGCTTCCTCTCCCTCGCTGCAGCCTCTCGGACTTCCGAGCCTGCAGCCCGCGCCTCAGAGACCCGTTCCAAGAAATAACGACGTTCTTAGTGTTGTCTCATAGTTCCAGTGGGCCCTGCTAGGCGAACGGGCCTCTGGAGAAACAACCTCCCACCGAAAATTGCACTGAAGGGGCATGTGATCTCTAGGGTGCCTGGAGGGGATCTCCTGGTGATTCTTCATGATGCCCATAAGGGGCCCACCCGATGATGTAACCAAATATGTTGCTACTGTCGCACCTATAGTGTAGTCAACTCTTCCATGGGTACCACCATTGTGCCCATACCAGGTAGGTTTTACATTGTTTCGTGGCCGAAGAGCAACCACACCGAACTCATCCACTGGCACGCGTAATTGTTCTCCAACGCCCCCAGCTAGATGTTCACGGCTGGCTAGCCCAGAGGAGCTCACATCTGTGTTCGTGTATACCCATGTGCCCTGTACGCTGGTGTCCCCGATTCCGTCGTTCAAGTCAACGCTGACTATCTGACAAAAACGCAAGAGATGTGGCCCGCTTCGGTCTGAACAAATCTCGGCGACGCAATCGAAAGAGACGCGGTAACAAACTACTCGGGGTTCCTTGGAGCCTGGGACGCCGCGGAAAGAAATAACAACCTAGAACAGCAACGTCCATGCCCGATCGCTTCACCCGAACTCCGAGCCCCTGCCCCTGTAGGGCAGCGGGACAAAGCACAATTCGTACAATGTGACTCTCTCGAAGCCTGCAGGACGGCGAAACGGAAATACTGTTGGTCGATTCGTATGCGCACCTCGTCCGTACCCCGCCTCGAACAAGGAAACGCCACCGATCTTCTTACGAGTCAGAGCTGCATCGGGAAGAACACGGACTTGGGTCCCCACGAAAAACGCCGCGTGGAAAGACTTTGCAATGACAGAGAGTACTTCTTCTTGCCGTTCGCTGGAAATGAGGCTCAGAGGATCCCAGCTCAATAATCTGAACGTAGCAATGAAGATGGCCACACGTAGTGATCCAACACTTGGCCGAAAGAAAAACGCTTGGGTAAGCGAAGCGTGTGTCTGCATTGCGAGTGTGGCAGGGCGGGGGCCTGAAAGAGGGAACTCGATCCGCCTGACGAGGAAGAGGATGAGGATGAGGAGGAGGAAGAGGAAGAGGAAGAGGAGGATGAAGAGGAGGAGTTCCTCCTCCTCCTTTTTACTATTCGTCCTCTCGGTTTCCTGCTTCCCTCCCTCTTCATGGGGAAGGGCATGCAGGTTTTCTTTCGCTGCAGAAGGAAGGGAAGGGAAGGAGGGGGACCGAGCGGGAGGTGCACGCAGAGCGAGCGAAGGATGAGTATCGGAGGAAGGCCCATTGAGACAAGGGCATCTGCCCCCTTCTAGCCCAAAGCCGGTCAACATCTGTCTCCGGACACCTCCCGGGGTCCTCGACCTCTCGGTCGACGCGGATCCAGCCGCGGCGACCAAGGAACCCTCAGGAAGCCCAGAGACGACGACCAAACACCCGGGAGTGTCGCTGCTGCCCAGGACGCCCGAGATTCAGCGAGCGAAGAACGGTATAAAATAAACTTTTTCGCCGTCGGGGGCGCCTGCCCCAGGGCGGCTGGAAAGTTTATACCCTTACGGTGGCACCGTAGGGGTATAAACTTTCCAGCCGCCCTGGGGCAGGCGCCCCCGACGGCGAAAAAGGTTGTTTTATACCGTTCTTCGCTCGCTGAGAGATGGGTACGGAACAAATGTCTAAGATGCCCATCGCCACAGGTTGTCCGAAACCGACAGCGGCAGCTGTTGGGCAGGCGGCTTTGTGTCTCGACTGGACCACGCCATCGGCGACACCGACACCGAGCTCCGTGAATCAGGAACAGGCACTGCTGCCGGTCTTCCTACCTACTCTTTGCGTGCCTATTTCTAGGGGAACGAAGAATGACATAAACATAAAAACTCGAAGGTCCTCGCTGATTTCTCGGATCGGCGCTGGACCCCCCTCCCTGGCGCTCGGAGCGCGCCAGGGAGGCGCTGGAGGCGCCGCCAGGGGGGTCCAGCGCGGATCCGAGAAATCCGCGCGGACCTTCGAGTTTTTATGTTCATGCCATGGCTCGTTTCCCTAATTTCGATCGTGCCGATCCCACGTAGGCTACACGCAAGAGCGACCCTGGGTAAGATTGACCTCTGGTGCGCGGCTTCTTGGGGGCCTTGGGGGGAGGCCGCTGCTGGCGCTTCGCGTTCAGCCATCTGGGGACCCATCTGTGCCCGCACCAGAGGTCACTCCGCCGAAGGAGTAGAAGACAAACATTAAGAAGCCTGCATACAACGGAAAACATGCTACAATTATTCTATAGAGCTCTATAGAAAAAAAGCGGCAGAAACGTAAACTGCTGTCGCTCCGCGCGGAGTTCTTGGATCTGCGCTGGACCCCCCTCCCCGGCGCGCGGGCTGCGCCAAGGGCGGCGCCGGAGGCGCCGCCGGGGGGGCCCAGGCGCGGATCCAGGAAGTCCGCGAGGAACGAACGCCACACTTTTATGTTTATGCTGCTTTTTCTCCTTTGACAAAGGTCACCCTGGCGAAGGGTCACTCTGACGTCTAGTCGACCCTGGAAGTTAGGAATGCCAGCCACCACCGGTACTCCTCATCTCGGATCGGCGATCGACACAAATCGGATCGCCAGAAATCGGCAGCCGAGTCGGGAAGAGTCGAATCGGCGAAAATTGGCAGGCTAGTATGCCTCCAATGAGACATCGGACTTCGAATCGGAATCCCACATCGAATCGGAATCGGAATCGGCAGCCCTCGAAGTCGAATCGAATCGGACTGGAAGAATCGAAACGAGTCCTGGAGACGAGGAGTGCCGGCCACCGCCGGGAGGACGAAGAAGCAGAAGGGCTCGAGCAGGGGCTGCACGAGCTTCTCCAGAAAGAACCCCTGGCTGCTCGCGGCCGAATCCTTCGCGCGGTCCATCAGCGGCATGACGGGCCCGGGGTCGATGGGCCACCCCAGGGGCCAGCAGAGCAGAATAACCAGGTGGCCATCAACAGTCAGCGTGCTATCATGTGGAACGCAGAAGCAACGAAGGGGCTTTCCTGGCCACTGCGAGCCTCGGCTACGAATAGGCTCCCCGACCGAAACCCAAGGAACGGCCAGAAAACCAGAGCCACTCCTGAGCCCAAAGCGGTCCTTATTTTCAAAGTGTTGACTACACTCTGTGCGCGTCTGCCTGGGCTGACCTGAAAAATGAACCTGGCGCGACTTCAATTCGGGACACAGTTCCTCAGTGGCACTGGTCGGCGTTGCTTGGCGTTTCTTGGCATTGCTTGGCGTTGAAAGGAAGCGAAGAACAAGCAAGCAGCCCAGGAATGGCGTTAATTGGGAACAGAACCAAACAATCCAGGGAATGCAACACGAAAAACAAAAAGGCAGAGCCACCCGGGGACGGCAGTCATAGAAGAAGAACAAAAAAAACATGCTCCGCGCGAATTTCTTGGATCTGCGGCTGGACCCCCTCCATGCCGCGCTGAGCGCGCCAGGGGCGGCGCCGGAGGCGCCGCCGGGGGAGCCCAGCGCGGATCCAAGAAATCCGCGAAGAGCGCCAAGAGTTCATGTTTATGGCGTGTCTTCTTCTTCTTCTTCTTCTTCTTCTTCTTCTTCGAAGCAAGGACACGAGACCAGACAGCGCCGTGCAAGGCCGCGTGAGGACACTGTAGACCAGGCAACCCCGGGGAGCGCTCCTGGAGGAGGAGGAGGAGGAGGAGGAGGAGGAGGAGGAGGAGGAGGAGGAGGAGGAGGAGGAGGAGGAGGGGGAGGAGGGGGAGGAGGAGGAGGAGGAGGAGGAGGAGGGGGGGGAAGAGAAGGAGGAGGAGGCCGCGCAGCCCTCGGGCACGCGCCGGCCGGCCAGGTCCGGCGCCCACCAGGCTCTCAAGACAGGCAGGGGTCCCTCGGGGCAAGGCCTCTCGCTGGGAGAAGAACTCGTTCCTGCAAGTCCGGCTTAAGTCGGCTCGTCTGCGCAACAGTATCTGTGCAATGGCTGGCGCGCTCCCAGCCTCGTTTTTGACCACGTCTTTTGACATTCGTTTCGCACGATTTCTTGCCGACGCGCTGGCTAGCGGCTCGGCGCGGCTTCTTGGGCTTCTGGCGTGCGTGCGTCTGGCCCCCAGGGGTGAGCCGAGCGACCTGGGTCATGGGCAGCCCAAGCTCCCGCTCCCGGTCCCCCTGCCTAAAGAACTCCTCCTCCAGCGCCGCCACCATGTGAACGACGAAACAAAAAGGGGTCTTACGCGAGATGGCATAGCTATCCTGCGCGGTGGCCTACGCGGGCCGCCAGCGCGGCACGCTGCATTGCAGACGAAGGTGCTCACGCGCGACCTGACGCGGGCAGCTTACGCGCCAGCGTCGGCGCAGACGACCCTGCTTTCTCCCGTCGCCCATGTGCCTGTGCACCCTCCATGGCCTGCAGGTGTGCCCGAGGTCGAACACGTGGACGCAGCACTGCAGGAGCATGCGCCTGTCGACCCTGCTCGCCTCCCGCATCTTCATGTCGGTCTCGAACTCTGTGGCCAGCGGCTGGTCGGAGCTCCGCAGCACCCGGGCGGAGAGCTTCTCCACCAGCTCGAAGTGGTGAGACATGTCCGTCGCCAAGATCGCCTCGATTATCTTCGAGCGGAGCGTAGTTGCCGCATCCGACTCTATACTTTCCAGCACGTTCATGCCCGGCAGCCTGAACGTCTGGAAGACCCTGTGGGCGTGCATGTTCTCCAGAGGCGATATGTCGTTGTATGTCATCGCGAGTGAGTGGGAGGTCTTCACCAGGAAGGCATTGTTCGTGCCCATGTGCCCAACGTCGTGGCCCACGCAAGCGATGAGGAGAGCCAATATGTCGTGATAGCTGAAATACCTGCAGAACTGCCCTTCCGTCAAGGCCACATATGCAAACTGGACTGTGTCGACGGCGTGCCTCCAATCGTGGTATGGGTTGGCATTGTACTGCCTTGCAGACGCGCCCATCCAACAGCGTAGCACACTCTCCTCGATGTTGTAGCGCTCCAGCAGCCCGAAGGGTGACTTGAAGGCGACCGACAGCAGGGCGACGTCCAGATCGATGTCGCCCCTGGAACGCTTATCGAAATCAATCGACCTGAGGGTGGCCAAGTCGGAGTCTTCACTGGGTGCACCTCCGCCTCTAGAAGGAGAGAAAACGTAAACATAAACTATTGGCGCTCCGGCCGTTCCGCAAGGATTTCTTAGATCCGCGCTGGACTCCCCTCCCTGGCGCGCGCAGCGCCTGAGGGGCGGCGCCAGAGGCGCCGCCGGGAGTGGCCCATGCGCAGATCCAAGAAATCCGCGCGGAGCGGCGAAAGTTTATGTTTATGGCGTTTCTTCTTCTTCTTCTTCTTCTTTTCTTCTCCTTCTTCTTCTTCTTATGATTATTATTGTTATTGTTGTTATTATTATTGTTATTGTTGTTGTTAATGTTATTATTATTATTATTATTATTATTATTATTATTATTCGTAGTAGTATTAGTATTATTATTGTTGTTATTCTTAGTATTATTATTATGGTTATTGTTGTTATTATTAATACGATTATTGCTATTGTTGTTATTGTTAGTGTTATTCTTATTACTATTAATATTAATATTATTATTAAACTTAGTATTATTACTATTATTGTTATTACATTATTTCTTCTTCTTCTTCTTCAAGTCTTCACAGGGCGCACCTCCACCTCGGTATCGCGGTGGGGAGCACGAGGCTTGGCTGGTGCCTCTGCTCCGGATGCCGCCCTGCAGGCCAGAGTCGTCGAGGGCCTCCAGCGGCAGCCTCCGCCTCGAGTGAGGTCGGGCATGTCCCCCCACAGGCGGATTTTCGGAAGAACAATACGTAAAACTAGTTGTTTAAAAAGGCCTCAAAATGGCCTCAAAACTAGGAGTCGGTAAAAAAAAGGCCTCAAAAGGCCTCAAAACTAGGATTTTCTGTTAAAAAAGGCCTCAAAATGGCCAAAAATAGCCCAAGAATCGTCCCCAGACTATTTTTTCTATCATTTCTGGATATTCGCCCTGTAGAGAGACATGCCCGACTGAAGCCTCGAGGTGGGCTCCGGCGACGAGACCCGAACAAACGACGAGGTGGCCCAGCTGTCCATCGACTCGTTGTCCCCCCGGTGTCGTGCGGCGCCGCACTTCCGGCAGAAGCGCGCGTCGGGCATGAAGACGTTGCCGCACTGGGCGCAGGCGGGGTCCTCCTCGAAGGAGGAAGAGGAGGAGGTGGAGGAGGGAGGGGGGAGGAGGAGGAGGAGGAGGAGGAGGAGGAGGAGGAGGAGGAGGAGGAAGAAGTGATTCTCCTCGAAGGAGATCCCGAACCCAGGCAACACCGAGGCGAAGTCGCGGTCGCAGCCCCTGAAGAAGGCCTGGCCCGTGTTGACGCGGTGAGAGCAGCGCCCAGACAGGTCCTCCACCGCGCCCAGCAGCTGCTGGTGCCGGGCGGCGCCGAGCGGCCCGGGCAGCCCCTCGCAGCACTCCCTCAAGAAGTCGCGCAGCACCGCGTACGAGCCCACGTACTTCGGGCTCCCCTCGGGCACGCCGAGGGACGCGGCGTGGCGCGAGAGCGGCTGGCGCACGCCCTCGTCCGGGGTGGCGGGCGAGCCGTCCGAGAGCGGCGTCTGGCCCGCAGTCCCGCAGGCCCTGCCATCGGCGGTCGCGCCCGCAGCGCCTCCGCACAGCACGCGACCCGGCAGCCTCCACGGCTCGCTCTGTCGCCGTGGGCTCGCTCTGTCGCCGGGCATCGCCTTCTTGCGGCGCGGGCGCCCGTGCGGCGTTCCGGGGCGGGGAGCGAGGACGTGGCGGCCTGGGGGGGCGGCGGGCGAGCCCACCAGCGCAGCAGCCTCTGCGGGAGGGTGCCCTCGACGCGGCCGCTGCCTCACGCCGCCAGCTCCTCTGTCGCGCGGCCGCGCGTCGCCGCGCGAGGTGCCGCGGCGGACGCTTCACAGGAATAGAGAGGCGGCCCGGCTGCCGAGGTGGAGTGGGCGCAAGCTGACATCTGCCCTCCGCTCGGGCGGTGCCTTGCGGCAGCAGGATCACCCCGTAAACCGCGGGCTGGAGCCAAAAGGCGAGACGCCGCGTGGAGCGCGCTTGTGCTTCCTGCTCAGGGTGGTTTCAGCCTTCAGCACACGCCAGCCATCAGCGTTTTTGGAGACAGAACGTAAAGGGCACGTCCCTGCCACGAAGAAGACAATCCGGAATCCCACCAGCCCTCTGGGCGTAGGTGGTCTAGAGCAGATCCTCTTCCACCCCTCCCTCTTCCCCCTTGGGGAGGGGTTTACCCCTCCCCCTACCCCCTCCCCTGGACCTGGACGGGGGGGGCCGCGGGTAGTTAGAGCGTCCAAGATGGCCCAAGACGGCTCCAAGAGCGCCTCAGAGAACCCAAGATGAGCTCCAAGATGGCTCAAGATAGCGCAAGATCGCTCACGATGGCTCCTAAGATGGTTCCAAGAAGCCCAAAGACGGCCCCAAGATAACTCCAAGTGGCCAAACAGCTCCCCAAGGAGGCCCCGAAGAGGCCAAAATCGTCCCAAAACCTAAGGAAAATCAATGATTTTTGCTTTCTCGCCTTTTCGCTTCCGATGGCCATCCGAGGCCTGGAGATGGCTCCAAGATGGCCCAAGAGGGCCCCAAGAGAGCCCCAAAAGAGCCCCAAGACGGCCCCAAGAGCGCCCAAGAGCACTCCAAGAGCGTTCCAAGAGGGGTCCAAGAGGCGATTTTAGGGGCTTCCGAGGGGGGACGCTAATTAAACCCCCCCTCTTGTTTGATCGACTCCCTCCAAGATGGCCCCAAAAGCGCCCCGAAGGCTCCCCAGAGCGCCTCAAGAGGGTCCCAAGAGGCGCCCAAGATGCCCCAAGGCGCCCAAAAAGCCCTCCAAGAGGCCCTCAAAAGACCCCCAAGAAGCTCCTTCCCCTCCTCCTCCTCCTCCTCCGATTCTTCCTCCTTCTCCGTCCTCCTCCTCCTCCTCCTCCTCCTCCTCTTCCCCCTCCTCCTCCTCCTCCGACGACGACGACGACGACGACGACTCCTCTTCCATCCTCCCCCTCTCGGGGTCTGTGACAGCTTCCCCCGCCCTTTGTTATTCTGCATGCTCCCCGACTTCCCTGATCACCTCAACTCCCCTGAGCATCGTTTCTGGATGGGCTGGTGGGGATACGCGAAGCGTCAACAATTCGAGACGTCTGGTAGTGAGTGCTCGGAGGGCTTTTCATCAGTCTCGACGCTGGCTGTATGCGCCATCCCTGGCATCGGTGCAGCTGGAAATGGCTGAACGATGGAGGACGCTGCCCCCCACCCGAAACTGGCAAGCGACAACAACGGGAGCACGCTGAGGGTTGCTGCTCCAAACGCTCCAGGGCCGTCGACGGCCTCTTCCCGCAGGAAGGCCAAGCCATGCGTCGTGCACGTCTCGATCCTCCCGGCCATCACGGTGCAGACGCCGGGCTTGCCCAGAGCTGGGAGCTTGTGGACAGCGTGTCGCCGCGGGGCCTCGGCGGCGCGCCGTCCCCTGCCCTCGGACAGCGTGCCGGCCCGCTCCGCGGGGCGGGAGGCTCGGGAGAGCTCGGGACGTTGAGGCACTGGTGGGGGGGGCCCGGGAGTGGATAGCACGTCGCACCGCAGCGCGGTAGGCCAGCACCGGCGGAGCGGCACGCTGTCCAGAAGTTCCCGACCGTGTGCCGGGCGCCACCCGGCTCGACCTGGGGGGGGGACGCAGGAGTGCACTTGGAAGAGAAAGCAGGGCGGCCAAGAGCACGAGACGAGGAGAGACGAGAGCTCGGGCCCTGCTCTAGTGCGCGGGCTCGGCGGTGGGCGGCGTCCCCTTGAAGAAGAAAGCCTGGCAGAGACGGGCCTGAATCGACGAAGACGACCTTTCCCCGAAACTTTGCGGGGGGGGCGCAGGAGTCGGCGGCGAGCGAGGGGAGGAACTGAGAAGGCCTTCTCAGAATGCACGGAAGTCCCCCAGCTTTCCCGGAATACACAAACAAAAGACCCTCTTCTGAGAAGGCCTTCTCCTTCTCACTTCCCCTCCTTGCTCGCCGCCGAATTTGGTTTTTGTATCATAATTCGGGTCTCCGGCGGCCGTTCGGGACGATCCGGGCACCCCCAGAACGCCTCGGCGAGGCGCAGCTGCTGGCAAGCATCCCGTGGATGGAAGACCGCCAGGAAAAGACGAGAACGTCCGAAAACCTCGCTCGCTCGCCGCCGAAGGAGGACGGCGAGGAGGACGATCCTCGCGGCGGGGGCCGGCGGGAGGGGGGGTTGGATGGGGGCCTGCTGCCGACGGCCGAGGCCAGCTGCAGCTTCAGCTCCGCGTCGCACGCCTGTGGGTCTCGGAGCGGAGGGGGCGGACGGGGAGGTGCATCCAGCAACGAACGCATCCAGCAACGAACGCAGAGCCTCCTGGAAGTACAGACGCAGAATTGTTACGACATGTGTGGTGCCATGGTGTCTACTTCCATTCGTAGTTTTCGGCCCGAGCCGCGAGAGAGTTTAAGCGCCAGTTGGGCTTCTCAAGAGCCCAAGGGCCTGCGCTAACACATACTCCTACCATCGCCTGTTGAAAAAAAGCATCGTGCGCCGATCATCCACAGGAGGGCGAGAATGATGTCATCATACGATTGGCTCAGGATACGTCTTGGGATTTTCCAGGGAGTATCTCGCCGCCCTCGTTTCTACAGCCCGTGTGAAGCATGCGAAAGTAAGGGACATCTGGGAAATCTTGGAGCGCATCATTGTCATGACCTCTTGCTCCTCTGAGGTGGAAAGAGGGGGGTGAAAGCAGGTGGCGGCATCCGAACCCTACCCCCACCAATCATCAATTCTCCAGAATCGTTGATCGGCGAGGGTAGGGTCCAGATTTCGCCGCCGGCAAAGGCTGGGGAGGAGGGTGTAGGCTTCAGCTCCGATATCTTCCTCCTTTACGCTGAGGCTACCGCGATCGAAGAAGTGGTGGAAACAGTGAGGTCCCTGACTGATGGCCACCAACCACCAGTCGAGTGACTTAGGTCTCCGAGACAAAACGGCAAGGAGCTGGATGGTGGTGCCGCCGGAGGGCGGGGAAGCCTTCTTCCTCCTCCCCCCATGCAATGTGTGTGCATGTGTGTGAGAACGTGGATCGATCTATACATATAGGCATATAGGTGTACATGCATGTGTGATTGGATCTATGCAAGTGCATACGTGTCCATGTACGCATACACATGTATGGATACATATATACAAATGATACCGGAGAAAAAAAAACCAATCAGATTTTTGTTAGGGCTATAGGGCTATAGGGCTATTGGGCTATAGGGCTATCCGGCTATCCGGCTATAGGGCTATCGGGCTATAGGGCTATAGGACTGTGACCTATAGGGCCATAGGGCTATAGGGCTATGGGGCTATAGAGCTATATGGGCAATGGGGCTATAGGGCTATAGGGATATAAGGCTATTAGAGCTATAGGGATATAAGGCTATAGGGCTACAGGGCTATAGGGCTATACGGCTATAGGGCTATAGGGCTATAGGGCTACTGGGCTATTGGGCTATTGGGCACCCCCGGGCACCCGGGCACCCCTGGGCACCCGGGCACCCCCGGGCACACGGGCACCCGGGCACCCGGGCCCGGCCACCGAAATCGGCCACCCGGGCACCCCCGGGCACCCGGGCACCCGGCCCCAGCCACCGAATTCGGCCGCCGACCTCACCTCAGCTTTATATCCGCTAGGACCCCTACAGAAGCAAGCTCTGATTGGGGTATATATATATATATATATGCATGCATGCATGCATGTATGTGTATGTGTATGTGCAGGTGTAGGTGTAGGTTTAGGTGTATGTGTAGGTGTGTGTGTGTATAGGTGTATGTGTATGTGTATGTGTATGTGTATGTGTATGTGTATGTGTATGTGTATGTGTATGTGTATGTGTATGTGCATGTGTATGGATGTGTTTGTATGTATGTATGTATGTATGTATGTATGTATGTATGTATGTACGTACGTACGTACGTACGTACGTACGTACGTACGTATGTATGTATGTATGTATGTATGTATGTATGTATGTATGTATGTGTGTATGTATATATGTATGCAGGCATGCATGCACATTTGTATGCATGCATGCATGTATGAATGCATGTCTGTATGTATGTGTGGTTGCACGTTTACATGTACGTACATGTTGTTGTATGCATATATCTATGTATATGTGTAGGTAGATGCATGCATGCATGCATGCATATATGCATGTGTGCATGTATGCATGCACGCGTGCATGCATGCATACGTGCGTGTTTGTATGTGTGCATGTAGGTATGCATGCATGGTTGTAGGTAGGTGTGTATGTATGGGCGTATGTGGTATGTCTGCCTGCCTGTCTGCCTGTCTGCCTGTTTGTTTGTGTGTCCGCATGTATGTATGTATGCAGGCATGCATGTATGTACATATGCACATGCGTATGTGTGCATCTATGCACGTGCACATTGCTCGATGGCTCGCTCGCAAATGTAGATATACAGAAGATCTGTGTACCATTCCCTCAGGGTTCCGTCTCCTGCACGGGCACGGGGAGGGCGACCGACAAACAATAAGGGGAACGTGCATACTGAGGACGGAAAGCACGGAAACGAACAGAGTATGGAGGAGGCAGAGAGGCGGGAGAAGGAACAGCAGAAGGAAGAGGGACACAGGCGGAAGGAAACTGGGGAGGAGGAGGAGAGGAGGAAGACGCGGACGAGGACAGGGCGACTCCCCCCTCCGTTCCTAACTACCCCTCCTCCCCCTCCCCCTCCCACTCCCCCTCCTCAACTCCCCGCCCTGCTGAGTTTCACGCCGCAAATGAGGCATCAACCCTCGACGGTTCTCTTGCGATACGTGTTGTAGTGTCTCGGACGCTTCCCTCGGCGCTCGGACATCGCATCATTGCCCCCCCCCACTCCTCCTCGTCCTCCTCGCCCTCCTCTCCTCCTCTTCCCCTCATCCTCCTCGACAATGACTCAATGCGAATACTACTCTCCGACTCCCCCGAAGATGGCCGGGGAATGCCCCCCCTTCCGCGTCATGCTTTCTTTAAT